TTGAAGTACGCCATAAAAAGTAAATATCGAACAAATGGACTGTCCTATAAAGGGATTCAGTTTTTAAAGAAAAACAATATAAATAGTCGTTGACTTACATGCAAAATTTATCTACAATTTTAAACAAAATGTACTTAAATTTTGATAAGATAAATAAAATAAAATCGTATCGTTAATGGAGCTTTTTACAGAAGTAAATGGATGAATTAATGAAGACATTGTGGCATTGGAAATTGTAATAGAACTGTAGCTTATGAATTAGATTTGATGCTTTAAGAAACTTAACGAGCATTTTAAACTTGTCTTTAGACGGACAAAAAAGAGAAGTGGATGGGTCGAGGGAGGAGTTCTTTAATAAATGTTTGTGACACAAAGGAAAAGAATGAATAAATATAGTAGTTTCATGCAATTGTTGTATTAAATTGGAGTTTCAAGCGAACTCTTCGCCCCACACTGATTCTTGTATTCAAAAAACACAAAAGGCAGTCTCCGAATGGCTGCCAAATGGCTGCAATGGTCATTAATCTACAAACATAATGCCGTCTGATAGGAGTAGTAGCATGCTCTAAAAGGATCAGTTAAAGCTTAAACAATTGAAACCGCATTCTTAAGTGTTGGCTTCAATTTGCCATTTACTCATCTATTACCGTCCTTTGCACTTCTTATATTTTTTAAGTGCAGCTCTCTATTTATTCACGCCATTTGCCACACACTTTGACCATAAAACGAAGCAATTCATTCAACTACGCTTAAGTCGTAAACCAAAAAAAAAAAAAGAAAACAGAAAACAAAGAAGACCTTTCACAACAACTTCTACAACTTCAAATGCACATAAAATAAAATAACAACAAAAGGAGGAGAAGCTGAGCATATGCCGGCGCCGGAGCCAGAGTCGGCGCCACATGACGTATGCGTAATGCTTCTGCACATTCAACTAAGCACATAATTTAAGCGGCTTTCATAAGCAGATTTAAAACGAACTGACAAACACTGACATAACTGCTCAATCTTTCATATGGCCGTCAAGCGTGCAAGGAAACTTTGCCGAAAATGGGTCGACACCCGGCACCAGACAGCCGACAGCCGACACCCAACATGCAGCACTCAGGCAAACATATTTCAAATGCTCCAGTAGTCCAGTACCCTCTAGCCACTACATCGAGCTCGCCTTAACCCTCCCATCATCGCTCGTCCTGCATCGTCCTCCATCGCTGACTAACTGAAAATGTATTTTGGCCTAATGAAAAGGACCGCCTGCTAGCCAAGTGGACTTGTTGGCGCCTTGGCTCATCCATCCAGCGATTCGTGCCTGCATGGCTGCCTGCATTTAATTAAGCTGGCCTCCGAAAAAAACAAAAAAAGTGGAAGAGAGCTGACGCTAAAGAGTGCATTGGGCGCAGACAAGCAGACAATTAGTTACCATCAGCATGAAGCTTTAAATGAGTCCTGCCATTCAAATACTGCTGCTGGCTGAACTCGAACAAACAACAAACACACTCGTATGAGTAGAGCAGCCATTTTTGAGGCCATAAATTATGTGCGCACTTTTCAAGTAAATCATGGTCAGCACTGGCCTTGCCCACATTTCCTCCCTCAACCCGAACCTCCTCCTTCTTGACCACATGCAAATGCATGACCGAAAGTGGCGGCCAAGTGCACCATAAGTGGGGCTTGGAGATGGCCAAGCTTTGTATGCTGTGTGGTGGGCATAAAATAATTTAAAATAATAGCAGTTAGCAGCAGCAGCAGCGGCAGCAGCCAATGGCAAGCACATATGTAGTTAAGCATTATGGCTTCCAAAAACTTGTGCTTCGAAACTTTTGTGTTTCATTTCCATTTCCCCAACACACAAAGTCAGATAAAAAGTAGGAGAGGTAGCAAATGGTGCACTTGACGAAAAACAAAACGACATTCTTGAGTTTCGAGACTTCTAAAACCTTCTTTATGCGACTCAACTTGCGTTAAAACCAACTCTAGAATTGCCTTTTTCCATTCTAGAATATGTACATAACTCTTGCCTAGTCTACCATTTATGTTTTTCATTAATAGCCAATGAACAATAAAAATGCAGACATTCAAATCTATTTGCTTGAAAGAGGTGTATAATTGATATTATAATTTCTATTGTCATTTTGCAAAATTTACGGCACTGAAAACAGAGCTGAATATTTGTATATTTGGTTGTGTTGAAAAATATTTTTCAGTTGCCAATTACGACGAAATTCGACTCAACAAAAGAAAGAATGTACGATTGAATATAAATTTCATGGCCTAACTTCATATTTGTACTCCATCATATTTTATTCATTTTCTATATTATTTTTGCTGTTATTACTAAAATAATTTTCATTAATGTGTTCACAAAACAAAAAAAATGCAATCAACTTAAAAAAAATGAACAAAAACAATATAAAGATTCATAAAATAAATTAGTGTAGTGTATATTTGCTTATAATTCGGGCCCAATCAAAGAAATATATACAGTGGAAAATATCTTAATAAACTCCTATTTTATTTTAACAATTATTCTGAAACATTTGTTCGGGGACACTCCGCTTGGGCGGACAACAGTTCACCGATGATGATGATGAGTGTCAACATAGTATTCACTTTATATGCTTCCATAATCTCTGATAAATGAATGACAAATTGGTAAAGGAATTTATACATAATATCATTCCTTATCATAACGAATAGTATACTTTCTTGTGAGCTGACGGCGTCAATGGGAGTGAGTGGAGTTTCTTGATCACATGTACATACATACTACTTATTTATACTTATTAGAAAAGTCGTTTGGGAACGTAAAAAGGGAAGCCAATTAGTCAGAGATCGATTCTCCACCCATCTAAGATCGTAATGATACTAATAAGTAGTAGAACTAAGTTTAATGACAACCCCCCTTAGCAAACCCCTCAACTATTACGGAAAACATGAGTGGCTTTTTAACTAACTAGTTAGCACTATTTTAATTATAAACTATACCCACAATTCTCAATGTTGATTAATTAAAGCGAAATTATTTAAAAGAAGGTAGGGAGTGAAGAAAACTGCTCAATAGAGTTGATTTTTTATTGTCAAAGATGGCCGCTTAATTAAACTGACTTATCTGTTGGTCCCTTTTCTTTTCGTACGCCTTGCCTAATAGTCTCGGCTTTTCATTGTTAAGGACTGTTCCTTAAAAGCTAACGTAATCGCATGACCTGATGTAATTATTCTGATGCCTACACGAAGCTGTACTCTTCTCTTCACTTTCGTCATCAATTTCGCCAATCAAATACAATCGGCCTACTCGTCTTTCTTAGAGTGTAGCAAAGCTGACTGCGTATGGAAGCATATGCATAATGGCAAAGCGTGCCGAAAGCCAAAAGTTTATGCCAAAAGACATTGCGATGTGGGTGGCTTGAACTCGTTTGTTTTGACTTTCAAATTGCAGCAAAAGCAGCAAGAGAACTGAACTGCAGCTCCTGCTCCTGCTCCTGCTGCTTCTGTTGCATCTACTGTTGCTTCTGGCCCCGAATGAACTTTTGCCATTTGTGCCTTCTGTGCCTCTCCATACCCTTTTGTGTGGGTCGGTGTGTTTCTTTAAATATAATAACGACTGGGCACATAATGCATTTTGCTTGTTTACAAAATTCTTTGGTCCAGTCAAGTCAAGTCTGAATGTCAGAAAGCTCTCTTGTATTCTGTCATGCAATGCAAATATATCTATATACATAGTATAGTTCTTGATGTACATATTCTCTCATATTGTATTGCATACAGATGCTTGACTGAGCAGTGGCCCAAACGAATTGCCATTTAACACACTTCGGTTCAGAGCCCCTGCCCTTGTACTGTGTCCGTTTGTATATCCTTCCGTTTACTGTTGCTTTCGCCCACTCCTGCCCCCCACCCCATGTGTTGGGGCAACTCTTTCTCCTGCCCCTACAGCAATTGTTTGCCTTGCCGCTTATCATTGTTGCCGTTGTTTGTCTCGTCCTTCATATTCATGGCTATATATGTGGGTGTGTTTGTTTTCTGGCACATTTCTTCTTTTTTTTTGCCAGCATCTTCAACTGTACACTGCATTGTTGATGTTGCTGTTGTTGTTGCTGCTGTTGCTGTCTCGGCAAGATAATGGCATAATATTTGTTTGTCACAAACAGCTCACAACATAGAAAATTGTGCCACACAGTACTCATAGTCGTCGTCGTCGTCGTCGTCGTCATCGTCGGGTCAGCGAGATGTTTATCACAATCTTTCCATTGCTTTTTATAACATTTTCTGACAGCAACTATGAAATGGGAAAAGTTTTTCATTTGTGATGATTAGCTCAAAGCTTTAAATGGACAGTTGCTAAATAGCCCAAAGCAAACGTCCAAACAAAAAATAAAAAAATATATCTTTCTTGTAGAAATGGGTACACATATGAGTTTTCAGTTTAATTATTGTCGAAAGCAAAGGATAACGACATAAGAAAAAATGAAGTAATTAAATGGAAAATGCTAGCTGAGTGTTTCAAAAACTTAACTTATAATTTTATGATGAAGGCTTTGGAATGTTTCTCGCTAAGTAATCTTGAGTGATCTACAATACCAGTTTTTTTTTAATTTATTAAAATTAAATATAGTATACATTTTTATAATGAATATTCGACAATTAATTGAAAATGTCTTCGTTTTGTAAAGAAGATGTATTTCTAAATCAATTAGAAACATTTTACCAACTAGGTTTTGCTTAAAATCTGAATTACTGCTCACTATTAAATATGTCATTTTTTTAAATGTTGCTTGTCATAATATTGTTTTATTTATTAAGAGTTTTAGTTCGTTTTTTTGGAGAAGCAATCAAAGCCCCTTTGAGCTCTGCGCCTCGCTGGTATGCAACACTTTTTTCCACACTTTCCTTTTTTTCACTTTTCGCTCATTTTTAACCTTGAATAAATATAATAATACATATTCAATGAAAGTAATTGGTGTATATATCTGTGCTAATTATCTCTTATTCTTTATTTGCAGCATTTTAAAACGCCAGCTGTCACAGCAGTGCATGAAAATCGAATTAACCTATTTATAAGGTAAGCCTTAAATTGACTTTTACGAATACAATTAGCAACTTACATTTCAAGCTACACTTATATATAGACTTAATTATCTGGAAAGAACAATACCCTATAAAAATTCTTTATAGGTTATGCAACGCTGCATTCCGCACAATAGTTAGTATAATTTGTTGCTACCCTTGAAGGGTACGGGGCATAAAACAGTAATTTGTACTGTTTGGTTTCCACATCCGCGATTTCAACTACAACTGCCGCGCACGGTAATACTCATTTAATTACTTAGTGAGTCTCTATATATGTGTGCTTGTAGGTACATGTGCGTGTATTTGTCCGCGTCTTGTGCTAACTTCAGTGCACAACAAGCGTTGCAAATTAATGCTCATTAATGGCGGCGGAGGCAGAGTCAGAGTCAAAGCAAAAACCTTCACCTACATGCTACAGCAAAAACAACAAATAAAGCAAAAGTATGCCACTCTTACGCCTAATGATTTAATTACACAGAAAACGCACAAACAACTAGAAAGGCGCTGTGCAAACAAATGCTGAAAAATGTCATAATAAATGTGGAACTTAGGCCAAGTTATTCATACGCCGCATTGGTCGCAACAGCTGTGAATCTTTTGAGTCGCTTTGTCTCCATCTCTTACAGTAGTCAGCTACTGAGTGCCTATGCAGCCTCTAGTCACTGCCATGAAAATGCAATTTCAACAATTTTCAATTTTCGTTTTATGCCGCGGCGCAAATAAGTTGCTAGCAGCTAGACACCACCCCGCACCCTACACACCACCCCTTGGCACCCACCCACACTTCTCACTACTGCTTGTTTAGTTGCATGCCCCTTCAGCCCGGTCTGCTTCTTTTCAATGCTTTCAAATTGAAAAAGCAAACTTGTCGCGTAAAAATTTTTATTATTTTGCAGGTCTACTGCCAATTTTTTTCTTCTTTTTTTTTGCCTTTTACTTACACTTGCAATGCGCACGTCTGGCCCCCTTCCAGCAACAAACATGCCAGCGAGTAGCAGTTCTGCAAATTGTATGTTTCGCTTCACTCCTCAGTCTCCTCGCTCCCGCTCGCCGCTCCCCGCTCCCTGCTTCTCGCTCCTCACGCCTTGGCGACACTTTTACAGCTTAAGCGAAGCTTTGCAATGCATTAAAATCGGGCAAAACTTTGCCAAAGATTTTTGTTGCACTCAAAGTTCTTACGCGTTTTGGTTTTTCTAGTTCTCTTTTGCCCCCATTTTCTTTTTCCTTTTTATATATTCGCTACTGCACAAGAACTTTTGCTGGTAAGCGTAAAATTAAGCCATTAATGTTAGTTTTATGGATTCTTTGAATTGGTTTCTCTCTTTGGCTCACGCTCTTACCATTGAGTTTTAAAACATTACTAAGCTTTGCGTTTCTTGCCAAGGCAGAAGTATTTAAAGGCGAACTCAACTCTTTACAATGAAGTACTACATGAAGGGGATGTCCTCATTCGCCAGGAACCTGCTATAAAACATGTCTCACTAGCAGCAGTTGGTGTTCAATTCACAACACTTAATAGTCTACAACTATTATATAGCGCGTATATGTGCTCTTTTCAGTCAGTTTTCAATTTGTAACTTAAGTGGCGTTTTTATAAGTTATTTCACATATCTGTAGCACTAGAAATCAATTGTAATTAAATGCTAATAATGGTATAAACTTACTCGGTCTCATCAGTTTATATTTATACTTGAACGAATCATTGCCCTACGAGCGCCTATTCTTTGTCGAACTTCTTCAAACTGACATTATAACTGACAGCAATAATATTTTAGATATTTTCTGCACTTAACAGCTTAAGCAAAAACATTACATTTTTATTGATATTTTGCCTTTACTTGGTTAATATTTTTATGCAAATAAATAACTAATGTCGTGTGAATAAACCATCCAAAGTCCTCAATTATAATAGACACTTGAATATTTTAAAAGCCTTTGAATATTTATTCTAGGGCTGTTCAAATCTGATCAATTAATGATTTAATATTAAGCACAATTTGATCGACCATGCAAATAATTCATCTCCATTTTATTCCACTCTTTGGCTTCTTGAAATTATAAAAGAAATGGATCCGCACAGCTTTTTACTCGAAACCCATTTATAATAAAAGGTTTTTGCGAAAAGTATTTCTTTCTATAGCTTTGGCACACATACGCGTTCTGACCCTCAAACGAAAAAAGCCTCTTCAGAGACAGCTTCCACCGAAATAGAAAAAACGCACCGACGGACGAAACACCTTTTCCAAATGCTTACCGACATCTTTTCAGACTGAGGCTTCAAGTTAAAGCGCACTTCTGAAAGCAAACAAAAGCTGCAATTCAAAGCATGTTTGCAATGCCAACAGATGATAAAAACAACAACAACAACAACAGCGACAGGAATAGGAATATCAGGAGGGAAGAAGACAAGAGCAAAAGTAATACAAATGACTAAGCAACAAAAGCAACAACAAAGCCGAATATACAAAGCCATAAAGAAATGAAAGAAATTTTCAAAAGTCATTGCAAGGCGTTTATTGCAAAACAAAGCGATGCAGCGTGGCATAAGTTTTCAAGTTGAAATAACAACAACAGCAATGGCAATGGCAAAAAAAAAAAAAAAACTCGCACACAGACACACACACAAAAAGCAACGCCAACAACAATAACAATAAGAACAACTGTATTGTAATACGAAGCAGCAGAGAAAATGACGTTGAAATATTTCAAACGAGCAGACGTTATAAAACATGCAATAAAGGAGGCGAGAGAGAGAGGTGGAAAGGGGGAGAGGGGAAGAGAGAGAGCGAAAATCACTAGAGAAAATCAGTGGATGGGAAATGCATGCATACACACACACACACATACACTCTCACACACACATAGATTTATGCATGTATGCTAACAACGGCCAAGAAATAACACAAACTCGAGATCCAGGGTCGGTCGTGGCAAGCAGTTTAACGCCTAAGCGCTAAGCTGCTTTATCCCCATTGTAGTCATTGTTATTGTTGTTTTTGTTGTAGTTGTTATTGTTATTGTTAGTGCAAGTTTTGTTTTATTTGCCAAGTGTTGCTGAGCGCTAAAGCTTCTTGGTTTGTTTGCTCGCCTTGACTCTTAACTTGGCCTCTCACTCCCCCACTCCCTCTGCTGCGATAGTTTTCAAAACGCTCGGACTGAGGCAACTTTGCAAAGTTTTTTGACAACTACCCAACTAATTTGAAAGAGGACTTTGCAGAAATGGGAAGGGGCGGAGGGTTGAAGAGGGTGGAGGCTGGAGGATGGAAAATGGTGTGGCATTTGTGAGTGTGGCACACAATTGCTCTCGCAGTCTTGTGCGCATTCAAGCGGCTGCACTCAGTGGCCAATCAATCTCTGACCAAACTCTCACACAGTTAGGCCCCACACCTCCACACCTCTAGACCCCAGTCAACCCAGACAGTGCGCCAGCAAGCCACAGGCAGCCACCATTTAGCCACCATTCTACTGACCACTTCATCTTCATTCATTTCGACAATTGCTTTGCGCCTTGTTTTATGCCCTTTAAGAGCGCGAGTACATTTGTTACACAGGCGGCAAGTGATTGCTTTGAAGGTAACTCAATTGAGTTTCTACAATTTCCAGCTTTATAACTCCCGAAAATCTGTAAGATTCTTGATATTTCAATTTCTATTTCTTTATATATATGTGTGGAGGGCAAAAAGTCCAACGTAAATCATTCTCAAGCATTCTCTTCTTTTTTCTTGACTTAACTCAATTAAACCTCTACAACTTCCAGCTTTATAACTGCATAAGATCTATAAAATTCTTGGAAATTGTGTTGGAAGTTCTTTTCACTATTGAAATCTTCTTCAATTTGTATACATTCCTATTTCTTTATATATATGTTTGGAATGCAAAAAGGCCAACGTAAATCATTCTCAAACATTCCCTTCTTTTTTCCTGAAAGGTAACTCAATTATGTCTTTACAACTTTCAGCTCTATAACTCCCTAAATTCTATAAAATTCTTGGGAATTACGTTGGGAATTCTTCTCTCCTTTGAAAATCTATAGTGTATACATTTCCATTCCTTTTCTTCCCCACCGCAAATCTTTCTTCAACACTTCCTTCTTTTCTCTTGGTTTTCCACCCACTAATCATTGCTTTTCCGACTCTTCCCTTTATAGTCAAAGCATTGGTCCGATTCCATTGAATGCCATTGTAAGCATTAGAAATGTTCAGTGTTTTCAACTTTCCGATAAGCATTTTAACTGAATAAAATAAAAGCTGATTTTCGCAACCATTTTGGAGCATTTGCATTCACAGCACACGTTTGACTGAAAGCCTTAACTGGGTAGAAGTGTATCTAAAGAGTGTATCTCGAAAGTTTTTGCAGCAGCCCCTTTTTTAGCTTGAATGCGGACTCTAGTGGCTCGCTTGTTAGTCCGGGCGACAATTGCAAATATGTTGCAATTTCCCAGCCATTCCGAGGCAGTTTGCCTATTTGGCGCGCACTTTTGTCTGCCGCCGTTTTCTTTGCATTTCATTTTGTTGAATTGTTGCTCAAACTGTTTGTTTCGCCATGACAAGGACTAGTGCTCTTGCTGCTGCTGCTGCTGTTACTGCTACTGCTGCTTAGGATGTGGATCGAAAAAGGGGAACCAGGGTCGGCAGCTTGACAGGCAGCATGCTTGAGTTGCTGGTTGCCGTTTGCCTCGAGCGCAAATATGTTTCAACTGCCTGCACATCCGTGCCTCGACATCTCCTTGCATCGCATTGTGCCCCCAACAACCTCGTTTTGGTTTCGTTTTGTGCGCCTTGCAACAATGAAGATTGATCACAGTTTGTGCAACTTGAGCGCATTTTGTTGCCTTTCCGTTGGCACTGTGCAATTTTTATTTTTTGCGCCGCTTCCAAACGACCTTCTGTGCATTTTTTCTCTCATTTTTTTCCCTCCATGCGCCTTGTCGTTTAATATGAAAAATTATGGCAAATATTTGTAGACCACCAATGGCTGGGACGCGGCCCGCAT